TTAAAGATGCCACCTCCTCCTCCTTTTATAAGCTTAAAGGGATCAACTCCTAATCCCATTAGGAGTTGCTGATCCAAATCAGAATTTCCTCTAAGTGATAAGGGTAAACCCTTCTCTTATCTACAAATTAAATCAGCTCCCTCCTAATCCTATTAGGAGGTTTCCAGATCTGAATCACATTCAGATCTGGACTCTCTGAGTGGAWAGGGTTAAGACCCAATCCTATCTGCTAATATAATCTCAGAATTCGCCCCTTATTTAACTGATCAAATCAGTCCAGTTCGAAATGGGCTTTAGGCCCAATAAGGGTATATGCTCACTTAGCCTTCCAAACTGCTGTCCAGTTGGGCTTCCTTGTATGGCGTGGGACCTAAACATTGATCTACACATAAGCCACATGGGTTCAGCCCAACCTATGTTACAAGGTCTGGCCGAATACACTGTTATGGACAGTGCACCCCCTGAAACCCATCACATGGGCTCTATGGGCCCAACACTTACCCTAAGTGGTCCCTGGGCCAAGCCACCTTGTAACACTCAGGGACTGTGGATAGATGCAAGATTAGCCCATCAGGTATTACCCTCAATGGCCTTACACTTAATCTCTCAGCCCATAATGATCAAACATTATCCGACAAGAGAGGACCTCTCCCTCGGCTGCAAGGAACAGTGTTGCACTCTATACTCACATGGATCCCACGAATTAAAACCTTTTGCAAACGTTTAAAAACCGTAATATATACTTTTATATCTCATATAAAATATATTTTGCAAAACAAATCTCAACGATTGAAATCGGCTGTCGGCAGTCTTGGTTTCCATCAGAGAGAATGCATCCCCGATCATTACCTTTGTCCGACAAAGGGGCTGATCCTGTCACTATGATCATCCACTCAGATGAATTCTCAGACTGTCCCAACATACCCAGGTTTTGACCCTCGCTAAGGATCTCATTGATTGGCATATCAAATACAACCCAATCCAACACCTAGTGCAGTATCATAATCGAGTCTAGGGGTCAGGTGTAACTTTCTAGTTTTGGCCATCAATCTCCAAGGTCCAGGGCAATACTGGAAATCTGGTCCGATTCAAAGATTCAATTAATCCTACACTGCATGTACCTCAGGTCTCACCCAGGTGGCAGAGACAGGCCACCCCAACCGACTTGGCGGCACATCAGTGTCAGCCTTATCAGGATAGGTCTCCCCAGATTGACCCACTGGCGTTGAACGTTCTAAACCAACACAAGTCTCATAATGTCCGATTTTAAGGGTATTACACAGAAAAACACCACATATCATGAATCAAATATGTACTTTATTCATTTACAATAAATGTCATACATACATCAAACTGATTGGAGCTAAGGGCATACAAAACTGTCTAACAGCTCCCACTTGCACTTAGGTCCAATCTGGAATAAGCCGGAGTCCCATACTTTCCACGTGTTTCTTAAACACTTTCTGTGTGAGTGGCTTAGTCAATGGGTCTGCAACATTCTTCGTTGAAGCTACCTTCTGAATCAGGACATCCCCTCTACCAACAATCTCCCGCAGTACGTGGTACTTCCTCTCAATGTGCTTGGACTTCGAGTGGGCTTGTGGCTCCTTAGCCTGAGCAATGGCCCCATTGTTGTCGCACAGAAACGGGATGGGTGATGTGCTGGATGGAACTATTCCCAACTCTTTGATGAACTTCTTCATCCACACGGTTTCCTTGGCAGTCTCACTTGCGGCAATGTATTCGGCTTCGGTTGTGGAATCCGCCGTGGACCCCTGTTTGCTGCTTTTCTAGCAAACAACACACGATCCTATCGTGAATACATAACCAGATGTAGACTTTCTATCATCTGGGTCTGACTGGAAGTCAACATCAGTATACCCTTGGATCTGTAGTGATGCACCATCGAATACTAGACAAAACTCTTTTGTCCTTCGAAGGTACTTAAGTATGCATTTCACAGCGGTCCAATGCTCCTGCCCTGGGTTGGCCTGAAATCTGCTTACTACACTCACCGCGTGAGCAATATCGGGGCGAGTGCACAGCATGACATACATGATGCTCCCCACGGCAGAGGCATAGGGAACATTCTTCATGTCCTTGATCTCCTCAGATGTCTTGGGAGACATCTTCTTGGAGAGAGCAACTCCGTGCCTGAAAGGAATGTTTACCTTCTTGTAGTTTTCCATGTTGTACATTTTGACGATTTTGTCAATGTAAGCAGATTGGGATAATCTTATTATCCGCTTCGATCTATTTCTATAGAGTCGAAGACCCAATATATAAGACGCTTCTCCAAGATCTTTCATGGAGAATTGCTGTGAAAGCCATACTTTGACCGAGGTCAACATTCTCACATCATTCCCAATGAATAGGATATCATCCACATACAAAACCAAGAATATAACTTTATCCCCACTGGTCTTCCTGTAAACACAGGGCTCATCCGGATTTTGCTCAAAGTCAAACGTTTTGACAGTAGAGTTCCAACTCCTAGAATCTTGCTTAAGTCCATATATGGATCTATTTAGTTTACATACCATGTGTTCTTGTCTAACAGTGAAAGGGATAGCGGAGGCATGGAGAAAGCTAGGAAAAGAGAGGGAATAAGGACTTTAGAGTCTAGACAAAAAAAGGGGATTGGGATTTGGGTGAGTTTTACCTTTTAGAAAATTTTAAAAGCCCAAGTCCAAGCGCCCGTTAAGTCTGGACTCCATTAGTATTAAAACCACAAGTAACGTGGTGTTTTCTCATTTGCGGATGTAGAAATTTTTTTGCATTAGCTGAACCCTAGAGCTGCAAACAGATCAGATTGGATTGAATGAAGGGTATATCCAATATGAATCTGATAATAAATCGGAATCCGATAAAAATCCATTGGAATTTTAAGAATATAATTTGAATTTGAATTCAAATTCGAATATTTCATTGATTATCCGATTTGATTAGAATTGTAATAAAAAAACTTGGTGATATAATATAAATAATATATTATATTATCCAAATTCGATTCTTTAACTAAATGGATTGACTTTTCTAATCCCATCCAATTTATTAGGATCAAGAGAGCTATTTGAATCTAGCTCTTACTGGATCAATTTTGGATTCGAGTTAGAATTGATCCGATTTATTTGCAGCCCTATCGAGCTGACTGACCCATTTGGTATCGAGGTTCAAGATTTTAACAAATGTTTTTCAAAGGGCCATTTATTAAAACACCCTTATAGTTTCATATATTTACTTAAACTTATACATTTTCATTTTATTAAAACACCCCTATAGTTTGCAACCTATTTGATTAATCGACCTTTCATTAAGATGTGTTTTTTGCCATATGAAAATAATAATTGAATGGAAAATGTTCAAAGGCATGGGCCCATAATTGTTTATTCCAAAACTACCCTTAACACCTTTTCGTACAAAAAATAAAATTGACCAAATAAAGCCAAATAGAGCGATTTTTCTTGTCTTATTAGGGGCAAAGTTGGTATTTTTATTTTTATTTTCTTTTGATTAAAATTGTTTAAATGGACTTTAAGGCCAAAACTGTCATTTTCCACTATAATCTAATGAAAGGTAGATGAAGTAAATCAATTGCAAACTATAGGGGGTGTTCTAGTAAAATACAAAGGTAGATTTTAGTAAATCTATGAAACTATAGGGAGTGTTTTAGTAAATGACCCTTTTTTAATTGCACATGAACAATGAAGGAAAATATTTAACAAATAAAAGCGGGAAATAAGTTATTTCTTTGGAAACATAGGAATCTCAAGGTAATATTCAATAGAAAAATTTATAATACTCCCAAATTATATGGTGTTTCATTTGACTTGAAAAACAATCCTAAATAACTGAGAAATATGAATATTGGGAGATATGAAAATTTTATCACATTTACAAATTACAATTCCAATTCAATCTGATTTTGTGACTAAATGGATATCCATCTCCTGCTTTTATATGGACCATATTTGAATTAATTCTGGATCAAATCAACCCATTTGCAACCCTACTAATTAATACATAAAATCCATTAAAGTACAGGCTTGCAAATGGATCGGAATTTGATTACAGTTTGTTTAGGTCGGATTTCCATATTTAGATCGAATCAGGTCTATAAAAAAATCCATTCATTAATCCAATGGAATTTGAACATTACTTGATCCGAGGCACTTGAATTCAATCAATCTAAATTGATAACAAATGCTATTTCAGTAATAAAATTACTTAAAATTAAGTTGAATTGGGGATTTAAAATGTATTTTTTATTTATGAAATATTATTATTTTAAATCTAATTTATAAAATGATTTATTAATTTTATACAAATTTATTAATATTTTATCCAAAACCAAAAGAATCACATTAGAATCAAGGGAAAATTTATGATAGTCGAACCCCTCGAATCACCTTGGGAGATCCGAATCCGATCCACTCTGTTGCAGCAGCAGCAGCCTATTTAATCGTTAATCTAGCAAGCATGTAGAAGGCTGAGACCTAGTTCACATTATAGCTTAGTACAAGAGGCAATTATGTATACCAATCAACAGGTGATCAGTCTATTTGACACATTAAGGTCATTGAGTTTTTTTTTTTTTTAATTATTTTTTCACTTAAATAATATAGGTAGGTAGGGTAGGTGATTGGTTACCAAATAGAAAACAATAGGTAGGTAATTAGTTGTTGTAGTATCAAAACAAGGTCTTTTTCTGCTAGTGTGATTGGTTACCAAATAGAAAACAAGGTCAATCCGCGTTGAACGTAAGAGAGTTGGTATTTTGGGAAGAGTTAAGACTTAATCCAAACCCACCTATCCGAACCCTAGGGCTGTCAATTCGACGGTTCCGGGTTAGATTCAAATCGATTCAAATCTTATCAAGTCGGTTTTGGATAATCCATTATAGTTATTGGGTTGGGCCAACCCAATAGTTCAAACCCGACCGATTTTAATCAAAACCAAACTTGAAGCCATCTGACTCTGAAACTCAAATAAACCTTTGAAGGCTCAAAGTTCTGAAAAAACCTGTTCGAATGTTCGACAACTCTTCTCCGGTGGTCGTGGCTCTTCTCTTCGGTGATTTAAAGCATCTCTGTGGAAAGCATTCTCTCCAGTTGTGGCTTTTTTCTCTTCGGCGGTCGTGGCTCTTCTCTTCAGCGGTTGGAAGAGGTGGTGGACAGAGGAGATCGAACCTTCATCCACCGAAGCTTTCCCACTTTTTTCCTCCCCTTTTCTCTCGTTATCTTATCAACCCAGCCGACCTAGCTTCCTTTCCCCTGTTATTGTCGTCCCAAATGAACCGCCGTTGCAACTCCTAGTAACGACGGCGTTCTTCTCTCTATTTCTCTCCCACTCACCCGTTCTCTCTATCGCTATCATTCTGTTCTCCTTAGTTCTTTTCTCTTCTCCCTCTCCCTCTCTTTCCTTCTCTGCAGTCATTTCTTATCATCTTCTCATCGGCGCATCAGTAGAGCTACAGCGGTGAATGTCCCTTCTGGTTCTCACTCCATTTCAAGTCAGCAGTAGCAGAGATTGTGGAATTCTCATCGTCATCATCTGTTGAAGCTCGTAGATGAATATTTGCCTCACTGTGATTTACCATCCTAACCGAAATCCAAGAAGATTCCCTCCGTAGTAGCAAAGATCAAAAAGGAGTGAAGCAATTTTTCATTCTACCTCAACCATCTTCGTTGTCCAAGACGAACCGACAGAAACCAAAGAAGCCTCCCCTGTTGCATTGGCCGACGGTAAGTTCTAGTATATCTTGTAATCCTTTTGATTTGTCTGACCTATAACAACTAAGAATATCAAATGAAATCCTCAGTTGTGTTTGTTACTATTGCCGTTTACCTCTGAAACTTTTTGGGTTCCTTCGTCAATACAAATTGGTGAGAAAATGGGTTCTAATTTTCAGGGTCATTGATACTTTGAATACTTAGAATTAAGACTATTTGATAGAGTAAAATGATAATATTCTATCTTAACAAACATATCTAAAAATTATCAGACCAAAAAAAAAACTTATGAAAGTGATTAAATGCTAGATACTCAATTTTTGAGCATATCGATACTTTGTGTAGAATGTGTAGGATGCAAAACCTTGTATTTTATATTATTTTGTATGTATTTGTACCGTATATATTTGTATTTTATATTATTTTGTATTTGTAAGAATGTATGTCCACTTTTGGAAAATAAGGGTATGTTTGGTTTGCAGTCGGAATCGGAATCGAAATCCTCCAGAGTCGGAATTGGAATGGTCCATTCCCATAATCTGTTTGGTTCAGACAAGAATGGGAATGGGAATTAAAATCATCAGGAATGAAATTTCATTCCCAAGGGAGGGGCAGGGGATGGCCATTCCCTCAAATGGCGGAATGCCATTCCAGCAAGAATGGGAATGGGATTCCGATTCCGTCCAACCAAACAGTTAGAATTGGAGTAGCACATTCCAATTCCGATTCCAGACCCCTATTCCCACGAACCAAATGGGGCCTAAGTTCACTTCTGGTTTTTAGTAGAAGTGAACTTTTCCTTGACTGTTATAATGACAGAGGGGGAAAGGGGTTATTGGAAATGTGTTGTTACAATTTTGTGAATATTTATTTTCATTTTCATTTTCATCTTCTTAGTTGAATATTTAGTTGTTACAATTATGTATCTTATTCTTTTTGTTGTTTTTTGTCTTTATGCATCAAGGATGAAGGAATCTAGCAATGAAAATGGAAGCAATTCTGAAGATGTCAATGAAACATCTATGGCATCAGGTTCTAGTCAAAGGAGGACTAGATCTAAAGCTTGGGAACACTTCAAAAAAATAAGATTGGATTCTGGGGAGGAGAAAGCTATTTGTATATATTATGGAAAACAATATATGGGTGGAAGCAGTAAAAGGACAAGCCACTTGTTGAGTCATATAACAAGATGTCCTAAAATGAAAGAAATGTGCACTAGTAAACAACAAGCTGAAGTGGAGTTCAAATTTGACCAAGATAGGAGTAGAATGGACTTAGCAAAGATGATAATGAAGCATGGGCATCCATTTTGCATAGTTGAAGAAGAATTTTTTAGATATTTGTCAATAATCTTTAGCCATTATTTATGTTTGTTTCTAGAAATACAATAAAGAATGTTGTCATAAAGATTTACATGGATGAAAAGGAGAAGTTGTACAAATACTTTGATGGTTTGGATTGTCAGATTAGCTTAACTACTAATATGTGGACTTCGGAACAGAATTTGGGGTATTGTTGTTTAACAATACATTTTATAGATGATGGGTGGGAGTTGAAGAAGAAAGTTATTGCATTTATGGCAGTTGAGTGTCTCCATGATGGAAACACTCTATATGAAGTTGTTATGGAGAGGTTGTTGACTTGGAGCATTGATAAAAAATATGTTCTATAATAGTTGACAATGCCTCTAACAATGATGTTATGGTTAGGGAGCTTAGGAATCGGCTCTGTATTAAAGGTCCGTTCTCATTGAATGGTGACCTATTTCATATGAGATGTGCTGCTCACATCTTGAACTTTATTGTGCAAGATGGGTTGAGAGAAATATCACCATTATTGCATAAGATTCGAGAAAGTGCTAAATATGTAAGACTGACACCCCATAAGAAGTAAAAAATTGACAATGTAAGAAGCCAAACAAAAGTATAGCATAAGAGAGGGATGGTTGTTGATTGTTCAACGCGATGGAACTCCACATATGATATGTTGGACATAGCTTTAGAGTTGAAGGAAGCATTTTGTCGACTAGCCGAGCTCGACTGTGACTATAAGACTTTTTTACTACTACTTCCCCAACCTCAAATGTATTTTTTCCTGGTATTTGCACAATCAAGCTTTTGTTGCTTTAGTGGCTAGATAGTGAACATGAGTATGTTCGTTCAATGGCAAATAGAATGAAGCAAAAATATGATAAATATTGGGATGAATGTTCTTTGGTGCTTGTGATTGCCATTATACTTGATCCTAGGTTCAAGATGGAGTTTGTAATATATTACTACAATCTCATTTACGGAGAGACTATTGAGAGACATGTTACAAGAGTTAGAGAGGCAATGAATGACCTGTATTCAGAGCATGTGGGTTTTAATACAGAGGATAGGTCACTTGTATGCTCTAGTATTGCATCTCAGCCATTGAGGATTCGTGGTGCTGTAGATTTTTTAAGCGGTTTTGATCAGTGGTTGACTGTAGAGCGTCCAAAATGTTGTCTAGACTCAAAAGTCAGAGTTGAATCTTTATCTTGAAGAAAAACTATTTCCTAGAGGTGAAGAGTTTGATATTTTGAGATTCTGGTGAGTTGATGGCCTGAAGTTTCTGAAGCTCTCTAGATTGGCATGTGATATTTTGGCAATTCCAATATCAACTGTAGCATCCGAGGGAACATTCAGTACTAGGGGTAGAATAGTGGATCAGTATCGTACTTCATTACTTCTATAAACGGTGGTGGTTGTAGTTTTTGGGCAAGATTGGTTAGAAGCTCCAACAACAAAAAGTAAGTTAAAAATTGGATCTTGAAGTAGTTGTTATCTTTTCTATATGATTTTGTTTCTAATATGTGTTTTTGATTATACATTATTATGTTTTAGAATTGGATCTTGAATCCGCTACTACCTCTCTTGTATGTGTGGCTTTTACAACTAACACTAACCGAACATGTAAGTTATGATAAATGGTCTACAATTAGCTTATTTGATTTACAAAATGTTTGTGTTTATCTAATTTGACTAAGCAAATATTTTGTTTCAGGATATTGGAGCATGTGCCATGCATCTAGGTTGGACATTTTTGCTTCACAAGTATTTTTTTTCTTATAATATTTTTTTATAAAATATTTGCTATAATATTTGGATTGGATTGGACCTAGTTCATTTGTAATGGTTCATAGTGGTCTAGGTTGGGTTGAGGTTTTGAACCAATATCTAGTCTATTGATAGAAGATAAGAGTGGGGCTGTGAGGCTGTCAATGGACTAGGTTTGGGTTGGACACAATCTGAATTAAAACCAAATTGAACAAGTTGGAAAGTCCAATAGGACAATGGATTGGATTGGACCAGTCCAATCCAGTCCAGATTGAACATATTGAGCAGTCCAATAAGTCAATGGATTGGATTGGACTAGTCCAATTTGGTCCAGGTTGGAAAGTCCAATATGACAGTTGTTTACAGTATGCGGTGTTTTGAAGACCACCCTTTTTTGTCATGCTTGTTGTTTATAGTAGTGGATGAAATTTTTAATAAACTGTTGAAGGGGACTGGTGAAAGAAATATCTTTTGAGGTTTTAGAGTGGGGATAGAAAATCAAGTACTGCCCCACTTGTAGTTCATGGATGGTACCTTGATTCTGGGAGAATTTAGGGGAATACAAGATGTGAGGGCTTTAAGGTAGATTCTGGAGATAGGGGAGAGGGTTACAGGTTTGAAAGTTAATTTAGGAAAATGTAGATTGGTGGGGTTTGGAGAGGGGGATCCTAGAGGAGGCTGAAATTGTTTTGGGATGTAAAATTCAAGAGTGCCTTAGATACTTGGGGCTTCCATTGGGGGGCAATCCTAGAGATGAGATTTTTAGAGGGCATCGTTTAAAGGTTTGTTAAGAGGCTGGTCTGGTGGAAAAAGAATTATTAGCCACCAGGTCTGTTTGGTCAGTGATTTTAGTTTTTAGGTCTGTTTCTTGATATTTTATTAGCAACCTAACTTCATCAGGCCATGCCATGAAAAGTTCCAAATTTAGCCACCAAGGTTGGGGAGGGGGCGGGGGGTGGGGGGGGTTATGGACTTATGGGTATGGAGTTGGGCTAGCCTCCTTTATGGGCTTGGTTTAGGCTTCTAATTAAGGGGCTAGACAATCACAGCCCAAAGGTGAAATCTTGTGGGTGGTTTGGAGGCTACATTAATTTAACTTTGAAAGCTCACTCTTGTTTTAACTTTGAAATTCTTGACAATTTTGCATTGACTCTCAGCTCACCATGAGAAATTTTAATGAAATAATTTCCTAACAACAATATTTATTTCATTGTAACGTGAGCAAGAAAAAATAATTGAAAGTGTTTCTAGAATTTGGAGCAATGACCAAGAAATCAATGGTCCAAAATTTCAGATTGAAAGCTATATATATTTTCTTGTATATTTGAATTCAATGAGGCCTAAGGAATGTGTTTAAGCCGACCAAGAAGGATTTGAATATGTATGGGTTTGGAATTACCAAATTTGATGGGCAATTATTACTCGGTAAGCTAGCAGTAGATGTTCTCTGCCAAAGTTAGCTCACAGAATTTAGCTAAAGATGGACCTCTGATAAATTTTCATAAGGGTCCCTTTGATTCGTGGGAATAGAGGTTTAGAATTGGAATTGAAATGGATCATTCCAATTACAATTCTCCGTTTGAAGAAATGGCCATTTCATCCCTTTCTCTTAGAAATAAAATCTTATTCCAGCTGATTTTAATTTCTATTCTTATTCTTGTATGAATAAACAGATTATGAGAATATAAAACTGATTTTCCAATACAACAAAACACTGAGAGAAATTTGCTTGAATAGATATGATGGCTTTGATATTACCCATAAAGGCAACATGAAGCAACCCATGTGCTTGTTGACCCACTAATATATGCACCAGTTTAACATGTATGTGGGCCCTACATACATGTCCACAAATGGACCCACATGCATATCCACCAATGGCATGTGGGATCCACCTTGTAAAATGTATATGGGTCTCACATACATGTCCACCAATGGTATGTGGGGCCCGCCTTGAAAAATGTATGGGGCCCACATGCATGTTGACCAATGGTATGTCAAGCCCTTCTTGTAAAATGTACATAGGCCCGACATACTTGTCCACCAATGGTGTGTGGGGCCCACCTTGCAAAATGTATGTGGGCCCCACATGCATGTACACACATGGACCCCACCAAGGTTCAAAGTATCAGAAATGCCAAGTATATCAGAAAGGCAAATTTAAGATACGTAGCGGGATACGCCTTGGATACGCATGCGTATCGGAGAAAAACTAAGATACGCATAAATACACTTGGAAACACTATAAATACTTTAATAAATCACAAAAATACATAAGCAACACTAAGTATAAGACCTAAATGAGGTGTGTGTATCTATTTATCTATCTATCTATCTATCTATATATATATATATATATATTAAATTAATATATTTTAATGATTTTATGAAGAAATATATTGTAGTTAATTGTAATTTCATTAAAAATCCTATGCTTAACTATAATTTATAAATTATAATTCTTAAGTTTTAATATTTTATGGGATGGGAAAAACCCAACTCTCCTATCCAACCATAAAACATCCATTGGCACAACTTTTATGTGAAAATATAATCAATAATTATTTATTTCCAAATATTATAAAAAATAAATAAACAGTATATAATGTATTCAAAAAATAGTTATTAAAGAGGAAATTTCAATGGCTTTGTTGATATGATAGATCGTCCATAGAATTATAATATATTCAATCATAGTGATCAAATGATAAAATATAAATAAATAATTAATTATTTTTTAATTCTAAAAATAAAAAAAATAACTATTAAAGAAGAAATTTCAATTGGTCTGTGGATATGATAGATCATCCATAAAATTATAATATATTCAATTATTGTGATCAGTTGATAAAATATAATTAATTATTATTTAATTTTTAATTCTAAAAATATAAAAAATAAAAAAAAATAATAAAGAAGAAATTTCAATTGCTCTAATAGATAAATCCATAGATCTAAAACATATTTAGTCTTTATAGACAGACAAAAAATTACA